ATCTGATCATGTATAATTGTATTTGACCAAAACAGCTAAAACTCTCTCATCTCACAACATGAAGATCTTAGTTTAAAAGTCTGGTTTGAAAGGCGCCGGGCAATATGCATTCCTTTAAGAAAAGCCTTTATGTCGGGCTCGTTTTCACCAAAAAGTAACCGGTGCAACAGCTGCAACACAAACCAACAAGAAGGAAAGCTGACTTAGCTACAGATAAAAACATCCCAAAACTTACTTCAGGGTCCATAATTCTCCCTGCAGTGTTTATGTGATTATATTTTCTTCCTTATAGTTATAAAAACAGTGCAGCATTAATTATAACTGTCATATTTTTAAAGCACTGCAATGTGAAAGGGCTGGGTAAAGAAGGGCTTGTTTAGCTCATGCTCAAACGCTAAATACTTTTTTTTTCATGAGAAGCCAGCCAATTAAAATTAGGGTGTGAGATATGTGGTGAGGCAGAAAGCAAGACGTTTTAATTATGAGTATGAACTTTGCTATAAAATGTGCTTAAATGCAACGGGATGAATCATCAGCCTTTTCTCAGCCAGTTTTCTACTGTTTACAAAAACTGTGTTATTACACCAATAGGGGAGAAAAAGGAGTAATGATACAATAACTTCCTTTCACAGAATGGAAACCGTTCTGAAAGTGAGCCTGTTTTTGAAAGAATGAAAAGGTATTTATTGTTGAAAAATGGGTCTGCAATATTAAAAGGTGACAAAAAAATTAAAGAAATCTCAAAAGTCTGCACTCAGCACAAAGATGTGTTGGTTTTGATTTATGTGAAAGATTTTGCCAAATGAAAGTTTTTTTTTTAGGTGCTTTCTGCATCGCTACAAAAGTTACTACATCCAATTCACATGATACAAACAAATCTAACCTCTCTCGTTATCTATTGCAATGAAAGGCTGGCATTACATTCATGTAAATTTTTAGATGTGTGAGCAATTGTATCTGTTAGCAAAATATCATATGAGCCACTGGATGAACTGTATTGGAACGTTCTGGAAGTAATCATTGGATGTACATCTGGAATGTTTTTTTTTTATTTATTTTTGTATTCACCCTGAGTCAACACAGCTAATTGGCTTAGCAGAGACAAAAATGGCAACAGCTCAGTAAATTGTATGGAAATACAGCTGAAATCGTATTTGCTGAGAGTCATCCCCAACATATGTGCAGAGGGCTCACATATCAGGCACAATGTTTTCTTAAAACTTTAGCCTTAAAAGTTGCAGGTAATATAATCCTGGAATGAATTCTAGTTTGGCAGCACGGTGGCGCAACTGGTAGAGCTGCTGCCTCTCAGCGAGCAGGTCCTTGGTTCAAACCCCGGTCCAGGGGCCTTTCTGGGTGGAGTTTGCATGTTCTCTCCGTGCATGCGTGGGTTTTCTCCGGGTGCTCCGGTTTCCTCCCACAGACCAAAAACATGCATGTTAGGCTGATTGGTAACTCTAAATTGTCCCTAGGTGTGAGTGAGAGAGTGAATGTTTGTTTGTCTCGTTTGTCTCTATGTGGCCCTGTGATGGACTTGCGACCCGTCCAGGGTGTACCCCGCCCCTCGCACAGTGATTGCTGGACATGGGCACCAGCGACCCCCGTGACCCAAAAATGGAATAAACGGGTAAAGATAATGGATGGATGGATGGATGGATGGAATAGTTTGAGCTTATAATATGTGGTAAGCTGGAGCGTACTGTGGATGCAGTCAGCCAGGTTCGTGAGCTGCTGGGTGTTGTCCAGGACTTCGATGCTCTGAGTGTAAGGGTTGTAGCGAACTGAAAACGGCCTGGGGATGGTGGATGCAAATTTCCTGTGGAGTAAGACCAAAACATGCTCAGCATCTGTGCACATGGACTACAAAACTATAAAAGACCTCACATCTTACCTGACTTTCTCTTTGGCGTCCTCGAAGCTCTCAGCCACAAAGTAAACAGGCTGGTACTCGGTGATGGGGTATTTCTGCAGGCTGGTCTTCTCAGGGTCAAAGGGCTGAAGTTTGGGCCTGTCTGTGAGACAGTACTGGAAAAAAGAACAGAACCATTACTGACATGTTGTGCAGGTCAGATTTCTCAAAGAGTGTCTCTGTTCTTGTAAGCAGGAAGCACGATTCAATGCTCTGCTGTTGGCTGAGGGAACATCCTCTCTGTGACCTCTATATCGAGCGGCTCATCCCTTTCCTGCCTCTGCTCACCCACTGAACCACTTCACAGGCACCCCACTGGCCCGGCAGGCCAGTTCCCCCAGTGACACATTAAACCTGAAACTTACTGGACCACTAACCCTCTCCCCGCGCTGCTGCTGTTGTGCAACACGGTGATATAACACTCAAATCTCGGCTTGTAGAAAGCAATTTCAAACGTCTCGGCTTCCTCGTACCTTCAGCTCTCCAAAGGATGAAAGCAGGCCGGCTCCGTAAGCTTTTATCTCAGAGCTTTGCTTACACAGACCGAACTCCACGGTGAACCAGTACACCTGAGGACACAGAAGGTTCATAAACAGGATCCAGCTACTAAAAGCGATACAAATAAAAACTGCACAGAAGAGAAGTTGCTGTTGGGTTTTTCATCAGGCTTTCCTTGAACCCCTGATTTAGTTCAGATCTAAAGTGGACTTCCTGTGGTTATTCCAGCTGAAACGTGATGTTCCTGCAGGCTGGCTGTAGTAGAAGTTTTATATTCATGCAAATAAAGGGAACATTTCTCTGATTACAAATTAAAAATTATCGCATTACCACATGCACGTTTTGCCATGTCTCCAAGTACACAAGTTTATCTTTGTTTTTTTAAATCGATATAAGCTTTTATATTCAAACTTAATAGTAAAATTAGCATGCAGCTTATGCCATCTTGTGATATATTAAATTATAAGATGTTGATGTGATATATGAAATTCTTATGTTATTGCTTCAGTAAGAAAATGGTTGGTTAATTATTGGTAAAATTTCATAATAAAACATATTAAAAGTACTATCTATGATCATCAATATGGAAATGCAGCCATTTTTTTCTTATGATTATAAGGTTTGGGCTTAAATGATCCAAAATTGATCTGTTATTTTTTGTTGATCTAGATTAAACCTGTTAATGTATGCGTCCTAAAATAGTTAAACTTTCTAAATTTGGTCATTTTAGTCACAATATACTCACAGTTGCAAGTTTCTCAATGTACTCATCTGGGGCACCGAGAGATGCAAGACCAATTTCCTGTGTGGAGTGGAACAAAATGTGTAGATTAGACAACAAAGTCCATGTTTAGATTAGATTAGATTTAGATTAGTTGTGCATTTTATATGTGTTAAACTGAAGTAAGTAAGTAAAATAGGATAATTATTTCAAATGGATAAATTTACCTGGGAAAATTGGGCAAAACTAGGGTCGGCAAACAGCGGAACGTGTCCCAGGAGTTCATGGCAGACATCCCTGTTTTATAGGTAACTCGTAAATAAACAACGTATAATTTATATTGCGTAGCCTAACGCCAGACTCAACACTTACGGCTCAGGTGTGTACGTGGGCTTGGAGCCGTGACGAATGTACTGCGTGGAATGGAAAACACGGAAAGCAAGTCCAGCCAGGAAATCCCGGGATGAAAGCAGGCCAGCGACTGGGCGAAGCCGAAAACCTGTGCACGCTGTGAGAGAGAGAGGCGGTGAGATAAGAGGACAGACCATGATTTCAGTTTGATTTTTGCATAAGTTGAATAAGGGCAGACAGGAAGTGTGCCATTTAAACAATTCCTTTCTCCCATGTTCTATCTAAAAGTATTCTGATAAAGAATAAGAGACCGCGCTATGATAGCAGCAGCAACATGCACTCCGTCCATCTTTTGGGCGACTGTATGAACATAATTTCACTGTATCCCGGTACATTGATAATAAAGCTTATTCTGATTCTGATGTTTAAATGAGCTGAAAGACTTTTTTTCATTGTTCATATCTAAAATAATATCAATCAGGTAAAAAATTATATGGTAAACAGGTTTAAATAAAAAAAAATAGTGGGCATGTTTTGGTAGCAGCTAGTGCTAACTTCAGCTAGCCATTCGTAACCAACGTTCACCTACATTTTTTTATTGAAAAATTAATATTTTGACGAAATGAGATTATTGAGGACTTGGATAAACAAAAATATTTTAAATTACACAAAAATTATTAAATTGTAGATTTTTTAGCCTTCGTTTTTTTGATTTAGCTGATAGCTTACCTAATACGCTTGAAGCTAAAGGGAAAGTTGTCACCAAAATCAGCAACAACCAAAAATCAACGTTAAAACCTAAATACTAAAAATTATATAGAAAATGTAGGGGAAGGTGCGCAACCTCATTTTATTTTATTTATACAAATATTGTTGTGTAAAAACTGCAAAACTTCACTATAAACATACCAGTAAAATCCTCTTGAATTAAAATAATAACAAAACTTAAATGAAAATAAACACAAACAAAAATAACAACACTTTAAATAATAGCTATTATTAAATAGCTATTATCCTTAAATATTTATTTGTATTCATGATAAAACTTAAACTAAGTCTACATCATTGCTCATCTGTAGTTTTTTTTTTCAGTTTTAGCATTAATAAACGTTTTTTAATATGGTAAACTTGATATTTCAATAAATGTTTTACCAATGTTTAAAATTAACCTGATGCTTCATGTCTTGTTTTTTATTTTATTTTATTTATTTGTTTTTATTAAGCATATCAATGCAGCTGTTCTGCGTTTAGCTAATAAGATGTCAACGGGTAAAATGTATACATTTAGAATAAAACAATTCAGCAGAATTAGAAGTGGTGTGTCACACTAATCAGGTAACCCATTAGTATGCTGGTAAAACATATTTCCTTTATATAACTAAAACAAAACCAATCTCATACTTAATTTTGTATCAAATGAATATAAGTTTTGCTGCAAGATACTTAAACTAAACTAATAACTGAGTAAGATCTGATGCAGTATAGAGGATTTGCTCCCTTGTTGGACAAAGCTTACACTGCAGGAAGCGAGAGACGTCCTCCAGCTGTGGGATGTTGTCTGGTCTGTAGCCGCAGTATTTCTCCAGCAGAGGGAAAACCCGGTTATGTTCACGACAGGCGTGAGTCGGGTACAGAGTCTTGAGCTCCATGAAGACAGTGCCCCACGTGGCTTTTTCATCCTCTGTGTACTCCACTCTGGGGATGATTTGGCCACTGGGACAAAGACGAGGTTAGAATTAGATTGTTGGTGAACTGGCAGGGGTGACATTTATCTAGTAGAAGGAAGAACTAACAAAAATAAATTAAAGCCCGCACGATATATTGGTAGGGGCCGATATTTTACACCGATATAGGCGTTTGGGGACATATTGGTTTCTGTGATAATTATCCCATTATGCGCCGATATAAACACTTATACTTTTCACCCCTAAAATGCTGGAACCATTCGTAATTGTACAATGTGTCCAGCAGAGGGCGCATGAAGACTACTTTCAAGTCATGGCCTTAAGTTTCACTTTCAGTACAGACGAAGCAGGGAGCAATACTGTGTAGCATATTTTGCTAAGCAGAGCATGGTAAGTTTATTTTAACTGATCTGTAAAATAAAAAAATAAAAAAACAATAATAAATTCTCTTCAATCCTACAGCCCGCTTGTCATTAGCTACGTGCCTCTCAAGATAGCAAGCTAACGTTTGGATAACCTAGGATAGGCTTTGCTGTGTAAAACTTTATCCAGAACATTAAATCGTAGAGGTAAAATATATCGGTGTTAGTAATGTTATCTTTGTCGTCCTCATTGAAATGTATTTGTCTGAAATCTTTCTCTGCAAAGCAAAAAAACGTTGCTGTGGTCAGTGCTAATTATATGTAACTGACTGTTTAAACGATGAACAGAGAAGGGTGTTTTGTTTAATTTATATTTTTATAACACACTTGATAAGTTTATGGTGAATAGTGGAGGATAGAAAATGTGAACACACGTTAGGAAGACTGTTTTTATGACCAGTGCACCACTTGTAAACCTACTGCGGGTTTAGGTAGCATGGATCTGATTAGCTTAGCTTCATGATTGCTAACAGCTACGCTAAATAAAAAGCCCCGCTCCACATGCTGTTTACTTAGATTTGTGGAGGTGGACAAAGCTAAAAAAATTTCAAGCATTATATCGGCTATCGGCAATAACCTGCCCCTCCCAATATCAATATTGGCGATAGCCAAAATTTCCGAATAGGCCGGTCTCTAAAATAAACTGAAGCTAATTCTAGAAACAAACAATACATAATATGTCATAATTCTCTGAAATGCACCTCAAAACCAAAAAAAAAAAAGAAAACTTCATTTATTTTTTAATCTGGCTACATAAAGTCTTCCTCGTTATACTCCTTTATGAAGTATTTATAAGTTATAATAGTCATTACTGAGGTTCCATGTAATGACTATCAATAATCTTGTGCATTTTTTTTGTGGGTATTTTAAAATAAAAGGCCTGAAATACTATGGTAGTTTAGTTTAAAATATTTATTTAAAAACATAGGTCTCTTTTTAGTTTAGGTGTTTTGTACATACTTTAGGTAATTCAGTTGATTATTCATAACGATAGGGGAATCAAAAGTGTTTCTAAAAAGAATAACATATTTTATAAAATGTACATTAAGAATTGATTTCTAATAATAGTAATATATGGACCAAAATAATACATTTATTAAATTACACAAGAAAAGTTAAAGATTTAGATCAGTCTATTTTGTAGACAATCCATTTTTTTTCCACCACACAAAGGATTCTTGCTAATTTTTAATTTAGTCTTTAGTGACAAAACACTAATTTTAAGACACAATGAACTGAAAATGTAAAATTTATTAACTATTTTACTTTCTATTAGTCATATATTTGACTCTAATTTGCAGTTTCCAAAAGTTCATAGGATTTTTCTGTATTTTCGACACATTCTGTCTTTTTTCTTCTCCCACTGACTCCTTTTTTCTTAATTCAGCTGATGTTTTCTTATAAGAAACTTTCATAAATGCACTGAAACCTTGCAATGAAAAAATGTCAGGGTCTTTGCTAGTATTTTCAAAAGAAAGAAGGGTTCAGTAGACTTCTCTAATAAACTTCAAAACTAAAATTCAGCAGTTACTGTCTGTAGTTGTAGGCGATGTCAGCAAACTCCTTCCTGCGGGCTCGGTACACTGGATCTGTGAATCCCTAAACGCACACATGAAGGAAAGCCACGTTAGATCTCATGATCGCAAATTCAAAGCGTGGAAATCCTCTGCTGAGTCCAAACCCCTTAGCCTTTGACAACGATGTGCACTCCGTCTTTAACAAGAGCGTGCACATAGATATTTAAATGAAGCCTTTGTGGAGTGTGTTTCCGTTTATAATAAATTCAATTCTGCTTTAATGGCAATGGCAAAAGGGAGCAATTATCTATAATTACAGGGGCTCAATTAAAGCAATGACATCAGTTTGTGTGTGTATGCACTTTCCATTAGAATGGATGGTGGAGTGAGCCCTGTCATCTTTGCAGCGCTGCTTTTCATGAGACATGTGGGCGTAAATGTATTCTCACAAACACTCACGCAGAGGCAGGATGTGATAAGCAGAAGGTGATGGATGAGTCAGAACTTACAGGGTGATCCGCGTCTAGCTCCGAGCCGTAACTGAGGATCTGGTTGGCAAAGCGGTCCAAGTCCTGGATGTCCTTAGGGAACCACGGAACTGGAAGACAATATTTGTTTTGTTTTCTTTATGTATCTATTACTCAGCTAAACTCTCTGCAATAATAAAGAGAACTATTTTTTGGGGGGGAAAGCTTGGATTAGATTTTTAACCAGGCAGTATCTTTAAGATCCCACATTAAAGTGTTACCAGGACAGCTTTCTGTAATGTGTGAAACATTACTAAAATTAGAAACATGTTCCAAAGTCAAACAGAAAAGCTGAAACGTGCATTTATTGATTCTAAGTTGGACTAGTTGAACTCTTTATTATCTGAGTGTCCAAAAAACTCTTTAAGTTTTTAGTTGATTCAAAGGTTCCTGTCAAATTCAGAATAGAATTAAAAATCTTTCTAACATGCAAACTCTCAACAACCAAACTCTGTGTTTTATTAAAGACCTCATTTTTCCATATATTCTAAACAGATCATTTTGCGCTCAGACTGCAGGTTTAATTGTGGCTCCTAGAGTTTATAAAAGTAGAATGTGAGGCCTAGCTTTTTGTTATCAAGTTCCACTCTTGTGGAACCATCTTTCAGTTTCTGTCCGTTAGGCTGACACTATTTTCAAGTCAAGGCCAATGACTTTTCTTTTAAATAAATCCTAAAATTGGGGTTGGCTTGGGCTTCCTCAGCCATCTCTTAGTTATGCTGCTATAGGCTTAATGCTGGTTTATACTTTACAAGATGTAAGCCATCAGATCTCACTGATGGGGTAGTGAGATGTTCTTTTTTGCATGGACAAATATATACTCAAAGAGAAAGTGTGGGGAGAAGTCCTCCCACTGCAGCTCATGTAGCATTCAAGCAGCAACAACATGGCAACTGCACAGCTGGATGTCTCAGTCAGTGATGAACCAGGAAGCTCTGGTATTTCTGTTGTTAATGGAGATGCGCAAATTTGTTAATTTCTAAAGAGACCGCCACCTTTTCTCGTGGACTGTGCAGAAACAAGTCCCTACAACCTCAGCCAGCTGCTCCTCGGAAGAGCGGTTGAAGCTAAATAAGAGCAGCGTACTGCGGCCACTTTAACACAACCTCAAAGTTCTGACCAATCCCACGACACGTGATGCATATGCTGCAAGACAATAGTTCTGATTTGGGGTTATACGCACAACTGGTTTCTTCTCAAAACCACGTTGGTGAGAAACAATTTCTGCACTTGTGATGAAGTATATATCAGTCTATAGACAGCAGGGGCCTCATGTACAAAGACTTGCATGGATTTCCTACTGAAACATGGCATACACCTTAATCGAGGAAACAGCATACGCACAAATCTATCCAGATGTATGAAACCCTGCATACACATGAATCCAAGCACACTTCTTTTGTACATCCCAATCAACGTGGAATTGAACACCCATGAGGGAATTCCCGACTCCTCCCTCGACACACCTCCATTTAAATATGCCCTGCACCTGAGGATTCTCCTCTCTGCACCATCTTAAAGCATGTTAACATGCGGGAAGAAGAGGAACTTCATGGAGTTGGAGATGCTTCTACATGAGGTACCGGCTGCAGCTCCATGCACAGTTCCAAAAGGATGCTGTCTTGCACCATTTGCTATATCCTCTAAGAAGGCTAAAGCCATTGTTGTTAAATGCATTTTCTGCACCACTTTATGCATGCTTTTGTATCCACTCATCTAATTTCATACTTGTGGATGTATTAATTGCTCATCATGTGTGTCCGGTGTTTACAATAATAGTTTTCACATCATTAACAGTTTCCCAGCATCACCTTCAAGTGTTGCTAATGGACCAATAACCATAGAAATGGGCGTACATGAAGTTGGTGTGGGGCTGCATTCATTTCCATAGTCATTTCATTCTTCATACAGCTGAAGTTTTGCGTGAAAACGCCACGTTTTTGTGCGTATGCTCCCTTTGTACACGAGGCCCCTTTTAGACAAAATGATCATATTTCCTCACTCTACTACTGTTATTTGTTTTACTTTTCATCTTTGTATTTGCAATTAATGCTGCCAATAACATGTTTTTTGTTGGTTCAGGTGTAATTTTTATGAGATAGATTTGGATCTAGGTGTTTTATAATAAACACTTTATGACATGGACTTTTTTCCCCATTGTTTAATACCATGAGACATCTATTGTTGCAAACTGGAGTTATAGAACCTAACTGAATTCAATTTACATTTTATTGTGTGCATTGTACATTTTATGTTTTTACTTGAGTGATAAAAATCCTTACAGAACAATGTTTTTGTAATTATCATGCAGACTTGCACTAGCTTGACAGTGGCTTCGTATACGAAGGGCATCTGCTTGTTCATACAGATTTATGACACATAAAACCACTGGAGCCCAGTTATTAATCCACATTTCTGCAGTGTGGTCTAGCCTACGGCCCCGTGAGGACAACAGGCTCCAAATTAAGCTCCTCTACAAACAGGCCGTCTCCAAATCAGGCTGTAAATATCCCGTCATCCACTTGACCCTGACCAGTCGACCCCGATGTCTACGGAACCCAAAGCAGGATTCTTGGTGGCCCTGTCTGTCTCAAATCGCTCTGACCTTGACATGTTCTCTCTGTCTGTGTTATTCTGGGCCCGAGACACAAACGTCTTCTGTTACAACGAGGCCTGTTGGTCCTTAGTAGCTAAACTAATGTCATTCTGGAAACAACTAATAAAGGGGTCTAAATGCGGACGAGAGAGCATCAGTCTTGTTGGCGACGCTGGCTGTCTTCTACCAAGTCTGGCTGATGCCAAACACCCAGCACTGTCCCCGTTTTATAAATGGGATTTTTCTGCAGCGTCAGTGTAACTTTTATTATATTCCTCAAAGCCAGGGCATCTGGGTTGCTTTTTTTTTTTTTAATTCAGCACTCTTATCAGTACGGCACTTGATCAGCCTGTTTGCACTCCCATAGCAATACATGCATAATAATACTTGTTTTTTAATTCAAAGGATGCTGCTTATGACTCTTAGCTACTGCGACACCTAATTCTAGTGCAATACTTGTAAAACTGACAGTTATAGCCACCTTTGAGCTTGCTAAGGTTGATGGTCACAGGCAAGTTTAATGGTACATTTACTGTCACGTTCAGAGGACAATCACACCCTCACTAACCTGTGTCCTTCTCTTTGTTGCGGGACAGCTCGTGCACGTGGCCGCTGATCTGTGTGCGCAGGCCGTCGATCACCTCATCCAGAGCCTGAGAGCAGCTGGGGTCCACGCTGATGAAGAACTCGTACTCCTCTATGTTCCTCTGCGACGGACGGGACTCGATGTGTGTCAGGTTGATGCCCTTCTCCTATACAAAGGCAATACAATGAGAAATTGTTATTTTCAGTCGTGTGCAAAGGTTTTAAACCTCCACCGCGTTTTTTTTCTTATTGCCTGCGACCATTAAACGTTTAAAACATAAAACTTAGTCTATATTTGCAGACACTGAGGTGTGGTAGTAGCCGAGAGCGGTCCCCAGCACATGCTTAAAGCGCTAATAGATTGCATGAGAGTTTTTCAGGACAAAAAGAAATGAACTCATGAGCAAAAGGTTTAAAAACAGCCAGAGTCCAACAAAAAAACTTTGAAAGGTCTTTGGAAAGCCCTGTGAACAGCTGATCCAGACCACTTTCAAAGATTACCTGGATGTCTGGCTGCTTGGAGGTAAATATAAAGAAGGAATGACTCAAGATCTTTGCATACTACTGTATCAGTCTGTATGTAGATTTTTTTTTTGTCCTATTTTGATGGCATTTTATCAGATTGTGTGGAGTCCATTGTGACCTCTTGTCATCAGCCTTGAACTCTGTCTGCAAACTGAATCATAGCCAGTGAGACTAAACTTGGTACAATGAAAGCATTTAGACACCCTGCATGAGATAACCCGCCCTCCAGCACCGAGGCTGAGAATTCACTCGGCTCTTCTGGTTGCGTTTTACAAGTTCTTCTTAATGACCAGCAAGCACGAAGAACATCACACATGCTAAAGCATTTTTCGTGTGATCGAAATGTTTTCTTATTTATGTAACCTTTAGGGAGGGAGAGGGAGTATGTTGTTCTCGGACTACTATAGGCTCAATGAAGCGGAGGGCGTGAGTGAGAGGGCCTCCATGATTCCCCCCATCTGGATCTTATTCTGCATTTTAAGTGGGTTTTGTAGGGTTCCTGTGGTTCTGATACGACCAGTGACGAGTCCAAGTTGGGACTGAAAATGAAATGGGACTTTATGGTGCGTTATATTTTATCTTATTTTCATAGATTAGCTTTTTAGACCTTATAAAAATATAAAAAAGTTGTCTTATGGATATTCCAATGTCCAAACCTTAAATTAAATTCAGTATTTAGCATTTATTTGGGGGCTGATATGGGGCAGAGGTAGGGCAGCTGACCCAGGACCTGAAAGTCCCAGGCTCCATCCCTAGCCATTCCCGCATGTCATGGTGTCTCTGAGCAAGACACCCAATCTCCAATTGCTCCCCGGGTGCCTATATAGCTAACCAGTGCTCCACCTGGGTGTATCCCAGGTGCAATGGGTTAAAATATGCAAAGAACTAATTTTGCCATTGTATGGGAAAAGACAATGATGACAACACATAGCACTTTATTATTATTGTTATTTAAGCTGGCACTTAAATAAAATTTAAGGCAAGTATTAGAAAAAAGGCCGAACTTTTCTAAAATGGCAGCTTTTGAGCACAAAGTGACAAAGTGCATGCGCAACTAGTGTTCCTTCCCAGGTTCTTATAGCGACTTTTAAATCCCACAGCCGGCAGGACGCAGGGGTCAAAATGTCAGATTTCAGTACCCCTCTGAGCCGTCCCTCCTCTGTGAGGCTGCTGTCCAGCTTCGAAGTGCGAGGTCGAGGTCGGCGTGACTCGTCACAAGAAAACCGTGCTGCCGAGTCACATGCGCACCGAGTCCCATGCCGATAAGCAGCGTGGACGTTTTAAGAATGGAACAGATTAGACATGAGAAGGAACACGTGATGGATGCCACATGGCTTCACAGAGCAAGTGGAAGGGTTGTGTGTATGCTTCGAGGGAGATTTGGTCGGTTTTATAGAGGAGCTGAAAAGACGAGGGGTAGGAGGTGGGGGGTGGAGCAGGGGGAGGGTCAGGATGGAGGGAGCTCATAGGTTGAATCAGGATGTTTACAGCTGTGTTTTGAGGGCAAAATTTGCCACAAACTTTGTATTGATCAGAGTCAAAACACACATGTCCACCACTCAATGTGGCTTTGAAAACGTTTCTGTTCAAAAATGTATTTATTTAACTTGAAACATACTTTATTTGGACTTTTCCCCTATTTTTTTTTATTCTTTTGCTACATTATGGTGGAATTTTGTCTTTTTGCCAGCACAAAGAGAACGCCTTGAACTTTAATAGAGCTCTATTGCTGCAAATCCCTGTTTACTCTGATCAGTCGTTCAGTCACGTACACAGACAGGTTCTGAAAAACACGATACTGATAAATCAGTATGATGGCTTCAAGCATCCAGAGCCTTAAATATGTTGTAAAATATCTCATTACCAGAAAAAATGCTTGCTTGTTTGACCAAAAAAAGAAAATTTCCATATCAGTAACACGGTGGCAGTGTAGTGTTAAACAAAACTAGTGTTTGGCATAGTGATGCAACTTGGCAGATTTTATAAATCTTTAAATATAATTGGCTCCTTATAATAATAAAAAAACACAATTTCTGTGTTTCTTTAAATGATCAAATAAACAAGGTAAATCAAATTATATTCTATGTTTCGAAACATATTTATTCATTTATCACTAAAAGTTCGACATGGCCACCTGATCTGAGATGTGAAGCCAATGTGCAGTACCGTTCATGGACACTAGATGGCAATTTCATAGCATAGCTGATTAATAAAGTCTCAGTCAAAAGCGGGCAAAAGTACTATTATTTAACAATCGTCCTTCTGAATTAGATGTTTTTTGTAAATAATGTATTGGACATAACATGTTTTTCTTATTTCTGTTTTTTTGTCTTGTTTTGTTGTAGTTATAGTTCTGTTTTTAAAATCGTTTGAACTCAAAGCATCAAATCACAAGGAGTCAAAATGTCAATTACAACATTAAGAAAATATTGGGACCCACATTGTAAGATTTTTTTTATTTTACAACCCTAATTCTGTAGCCTTTCAGCTTTCTTGTTAGTCCCAGAGCTAATATACTACTGGTAAACATTACTGGTTTTTTCTTGTTTGATCATTTTGACCCACTTAACAACATAAAGCCCAACACAGAATTTGACTTTATCATGCATTATAACTTTTTAGCCTTTTAATCTCCACTGCAACTTACTGTATCGGTAAGATGCAGTACCAAAAATCAGTAAAATTATGGTGACCTCTTTAAGTGAAAAATTTAATAAATATATACATTATTTTCTGTAATTCTGCATTTTTATGCATTACAATGATAACAAATGCATAATGTTTAATTGTGTCATCTGGATCATACAAAGCCTGGGCTGTGAACAATGTGTAACACATCAACGTTCATGCTCAATCATCCAGGTATAAAATCCAGTAATGATCAGTCAGGTCATCTGGATACTTTCATTTTTGTGGAAAGATGTTTCGCCCTCTATCTGGAGGACTTCATCAGTCTGAGGAGTCCCAAGTAAACTGTTTTCCCTACTAAGCAGTACACTCCTTTAGTGAACCAACCAGTTTGCTGGTGATAACTTGGTTTTTGGGGGCTGTTCTGTCCCCCGTCGACTCCTCCCAGGCCGGCAGCCACAGCCAATGTTCAAGATATCAAAGTTCATGCTCAATCATCCAGGTACAATTGAATATAGCAACAATTGATTGAGCATGAGTTTGATATCTTGAACCACCGCTGTGGCTGCCTGCCTGGGAGGAGTCGACGGGGGACAGAACAGCCCCTAGAAACCAAGTTATCACCAGCAAACTGGTTGGTTCACTAAAGGAGTGTACTGCTTAGTGGGGAAAACAGTTTACTTGGGACTCCTCAGACTGATGAAGCCCTCCGGATAGAGGGCGAAACGTCTTTCAACAAAAATGAAAGTATCCAGATGACCTGACTGACCATTAATGAACAATGTGTAAGGTCAAACAGTCAAATAAATCTCTTCTTTTCTGAAACATTTTTCTTTACTGCAAAAAAACATAAAGGTCCAAAAGGAAAACAGGCTGCAAAGAAAATTTGAAGAAAAAAAAAGTACATCAGTTGCTTGATCTAGTGTCAAGGCTAAATCTATTTGAACAGCTAGTTTTTTTATTTATTTAGCAATAATATAAAATAATTTTTAAAAAAATGACAGTAAATCATTGTGGCATGGTTAGATGATCCCTTCTGTCTTAATCTAAATTAGTGCCTCAGTGGTGGTTTAGTGGAAGAGGTGCACTGTGGGAAATGTAGGACTCATTCCTGGAAAAACTGCTGTTGAGGTTTTTTTTTATTTATTTATTTATTTATTTTTATTAGATTCCGAATTGATGAATAAAAAAGTTCCAGTGTTACTTGTTAACTCGTCATTCAACACTATTCTAAATATTAATCCTCAAGAACGCACATTAAAGTTTGTAAATGAATCAAGAATCATTAAATACCTCTTTCATAATTTAAAAGGGTTAAGTTTAGTCTCGTGAGCCATCAGTTCATGATCAGAGACAAATATTTTCTTGCCGCTCTGTTTCATTATTATTGAAACCTTGGCAGTAACGAGTCAGCGGATCGATACTTGTCATGTTTACACATGACTGATATCCTAACACATGAGATAAGATCAGGTCTGCAAAAAGCACAACATGACCCAGAAACACCTCTCGGTAGTCCTAGTTTTTGCTGCTACCGCTCAAACACCCCACGAGAAAAAAAAAAAAAGAATCTATTTGAACAACGTTGCCATAATAAATATGTGTGTTGTTTTGTTTAACGTTAATCTGTAACTTCTTAAACACAAGAAGCCTGAGAGTGAATCACTGAGTCTTTGTTTATGACTGAGTCATAAAAGAGCAGTTTGCTTTTACAAGGTAGTATTAGACACTACATATATTATACTATTATATTATATTATTACTAGACAGTCAGTCTTATCATTTGTTTATTCTATTCATATTAAAAAATAGTGTAAAATTGACCTGTTTTCACTTCTACTAGACTTTATGCCAGACATTTAAACTAAAACCATGTTACGTTGAGAAAGGACAGTTATTTTGATCTAACCTTGAAATTTCCACATTCTTCTGACTATAAGGCGCGTTAAGTGAAACAAAACAGTAAGTCAACCTTTATTCAACTCATTCACAATAACCACATAAAATAGGTTCGAGGTCAGTAAGCGCAACCAGAATTAAAACATAAGGCTCACTGTTGATTTTTGAGAAAATTAAAGGATTTTAAGTGTGCTTATAGTTAAAAAAAAAAATACAGTAACATTATGTTCTATGTTACTCCATACAGCGAGATCTTATTAGGTTTGTTTGGAATATGTTGGGGATGCGTCGCAGCTACTAGCGCAACAAATTTTAACTCAGTGTCTATAAATCTGTTTGAGATTCAGCCATGTTTGTAGTTTCTAAACTCATTTATGAAGTGACTCCATAAAAGAGCACATAAGGACACGCAGACCAAGGCGACATCACCACTGGGTGATAAAGGAGTGACAAAACTGGATTTTAAGTTGGTGCTTTTACCTCAAAGAGCCGCAGGGTCTTGGCCAAAGCTCCGACCTCTTCTTTCAGAGAGAAGATGCAGGAAATCACCTCTGATTTCTTGTTGGTTTCCTCCTCCAAGTAGGAGCCTCTTCTCTTCTGCAGACGAAAATATAAAAGATATTCACAGAGGTCTTGATTTAGAACTAGTGCTTCTGTTTTTAAGCCACATGAGCATGTGAGAAATCTGGTACTTTCAGGACACGATATTAAAATTTCACACCTTTTATCAATTTAAAGTTATTTTAGTGCCTTCATAAACATAAAAGTGGCAAAAAAGAGTTTTGTCTGCTGTACAGTCAAACAGTAAAAGGCAGAACGCGTGGAACTTTCCACCTGGTTATTTAGTGGGTTAAACATTTATTAAAGTGTGCAACAACATCTTGACTTCTTCAAATAGCTTTTTTTTTTTTTTTGTCAATCCAACTCTCCAAATTAGAAAATAAAATAAAATTTGGTACAATTTTAAGCAGGACAGTTATATTCCCTGAGCGAAAAATATATTTTTTCTTAATTAAAATGTTAAAAGCAGGAAGAAAAGTTACAGATAGTAACGTGGTTGACCAGAGTCATTCTTCTTTTCACTCCCATCAGCTGTTCTCTATTCATTCTCCTTTGTGTGATGGAATTTTCCAGCTGAGCAGTGTTAAAAATACAACCTAAATAGCTTTTTTTTTGGCCCTTTTTCTGACTAATTATGAGAGGAATGACTAATGAACATAAATCAGGTGTATTTTACCCCTGTCCCCGGGGTCCCCTGGGGTTCCTGCTCTTCCTCTGGGCTGGAGGATCCGTTCACTCTCTTGTACGCAGCGTCCATCTTGTTCTGCAGGTAGAGGTGCTCTGAGGCTGAACTGGGAGCTTCTGGTGCCTCTGAGCGATTCCTGGGTCTTTAAAAGCAGCTGGGATTTACCGGCACGTGGGCCACGTGACACCACACCCCCTCTTTACTCTGCCTCCGTTTGTCACGAGGTGGTTGTGAAACTATTATTCTGGCACATCTGGTTCCTGTTGAACACAGCAGGACTTCTGCTCGGGCTTAAGGATGAAACTTTTACTGGCGTGATTGGAGCAGATGTTACAAAACCTGCACTTTTCAATACAAATAATGCTTTTTCAAACGTGTAAGCTGCCAGAGGCACTAATGCACCCCCAGCCTGATAACAGGTCCCTCTCCTTTTTAATCTGGAGGACACTGAGACTACAAGTTACAATTTTTATAGGATGCACAATATTGGATTTTTGGCCGATATCCGATATGCCAATATGTTAAAACTTATTTGGCTGATAACCAATATCAATACCAATTTTTTTCCCTAAACCTGTATACAGAGACTACACAGCGTTCTCTGCTGTGGAATTAAAATACTACATTATTCTGCATGGTCTTTGTCAGTTTGGCCTGCTACCAAATGCAGATGCCAAAAAGGGGGCTGAAAATGATGTAACACTTCAATTTGGATTAAGTTTAATATCAAATTTATTCATGACATTTACTCTCTCTACACTCGAACAGTGCAAATTTGTAAATTTTCAAAAACCTAAAAACAGCACCTTTTATATCGGTGAGTTATTTTGATGGAATGGCCGATGTCCGATATTTAACTTTATCGCTAATATCGGCCGATACCATGCCGATAATATCGTGCATCCCTAAATTTTTATTTTATTTCATTTGTCTTACCACAAAACTGTTGTGCACTTTGCCTCAGTCCATTTTAAATCAGCTTTAACTCCGCGAACACAGCAACGTTTCTAGATGGTGTTCACACATGGCTGCTTTGCATGATAGAGCTTTAAGCAGATTTGTGGATAGCACAGTGAACTTACAGGTGTAGCTTTCTTTAAGTGTTCCAGAGTCCATGCAGTGATGTTCAGAACAGAACCAGACCTGCTGAATGAATTAATGAATTATGTGCTGCCTGAAGCTACCAACAGCTATTTGCAGTCTGGTCCTTTGAGCTCAGAGATTTCTACAGATTCTTGATATTATGAACTGTGGATGTTGGGATATTTAGTTTTCCCAATCTTCCATTGAGGACCATTATTCTGTATTTATTCAACTATTTTAGACAGTTTTTTTGCAGGCTGGTGAACCTCTGCCCATCTTTACTGTCCTTGTGACCACTTCTAACTCCTTCCATCTAGCCCTATACTCTGGACTGCACCAGCACACTGGTCTCAGCTGAGCAACAGTACCGTATGGTAATCTTTTAAACAGTGGAGCACAACCCCTTCCTTATTCTTTACCAGTTCTTGACTCTTAGTCTATGTCCCTGCCAAATGTGCTTTGGCTTGAAATGAATTTACCAGATCACCAATCTTCATCTTAATGTTGATGACCAATATTAATTTTTTTTTTTTCAGTCCTGAAATGGGAGTGGCATCATTCTAGTCTTCATTCTTTGTATGTTGCCTTGTTGTTTGTTGATTTTTTTTTTTACATCACATTGACAACATGTGACAAACAGGAGATGATAACAAATCAGTTCTGAGAACTCATGATGTTCACAATTTCAAGGTTTAAAAAAGAAAACAAAGCAACGGCAGTTCTGTCCATCCATTCATGCATCCATCAATCAGCCAGTCTTTCCATCCGTTCATCCATCTATCCACTAGTTCCAAAGTTGGGTTATGGGGGCAGCAGCTTGAGCAGGGAAGCCCAGACATTTCTTCCCACAGCGACTTCTTCCAGCACATCCCAGAGGATTCCAAGGAATTTCCAAGCCAGCCAGGAAAGTTTCTCCTGCATGTCCTGGGTCTTCGTCAGGGTCTCCTCCCAATTGGAGGCAAACCCTCACTACACATTTGGGTCTACCAGCTCTGTCTGGCATCGTTCCCCACCATCTGATCCAACTCACCACCAGGTACTGATCAGATGCTAGCTCAGCTCCTCTCTTCATCCAAGTGTCCAAAACATACATCCACAAATCAGATGACATGACTGTAAAGTCTATCATCAATCTTCAACGTATGGTGTCCTGGCGCCATGTGCACTTATGGACACCCTTATGTTCAAACATGGTGTTTATGATAGATAAATTGTGACTCGCACAGAAGTCCAACAAGAGAACACTGCTTAGGTTAAGAGCCTCCCAATCACCCTATCCAGGTCACACACTTTTTACCCATGTGCACATTAAAGGAGACCCCATCTGGAGCACCTTCCAGCACCCCGCTAAGGACTCCAAGAAAACTGTGTACTCTAAATTGTCATCTGGTGCATAGGCACAAACAACAGTTAGAACCCATCCCCACTCTCAAATGTGCAGGGAAGCTACCTTCTCGTCTACCGGGGAAAACTCCACAGGCACCATGCCGGGTGGCTATAGGCCTACGCAGGTCCAGAGTCTCTTACCACGAGCAACTCCAATGGGAATAAGGTCCAGCTCCTCTCAAGGAAATTGGTTCCAGAGCCCATGATGTGCATCAAGGTGATCCCAGTAATATCTAGGTGGTACCTCTTAACCTTTTGCACAAGCTCAGACTCCCTCATCTTCCATGTCCCAAGTGCCATCTTTGGAAATCCAAAGTCACAACGCCAAGGGTCTTTTGGCTGCACCTAACTCGTACAGCCTCTCCTATAGGTGGTGGGCTCACAGGAAGGTCATTTGGGCTGAGCCTGACCAGGCCCCATGGGTCGAGGCTCAATCACCAGACACTTGACGACAAACCCCTATAGTTCCAGGGTGAGGCCCCGGTAACCCACGTCAAGACGAGGGTCATCAAGCTTCTTGTTGTCTTCTGTCCATACAAATATTTTAAACAGCTCTTTGTCTGGCCTGTCACTTAAAACCAATCTGGTTTGGGACACCCTACCGGGGCAAAATTCCCCCAGGATCATACAGGCGCACAAACGTCTCCACCACGATATGGTGGTAATTCACCGAGGAGTCTGTAGGAATCTGAACTCAAGTAATAACTTCTGCATCTTTGTCCATTTCTGTTGAGATAATGAAGAATATTTCAGTTGTTTTGATGAATTATTTCTAAGAACTCATCTAGTTCCAGCTGGTATGACACGTGTGGAAGGTTTAAAACTGATATTAAGTTTTGAAATTGGGCCCTTCTTATCGAACATGATGTTGTTTTGAGCAAACAGCATCGCAGCAGGAGCTGACCTGTAAATGTTGAATGGTACAAACTGACTGATGCTATTTGTAGGGGTCAGCAGGTGCAGATAACCCTTGAGGTTGTACTAACAAAGTGAAATGTGCTCACTGGAATACGTTTTTTTAATGTTCTGATTCTAGTTCATGATTGCTGAGCTTTGTTTCTCACATACAGATGTACTGGATGTGGATTATATGAAATATAGATTTGTATCTATAACATGTTTTCTTTTTAACTTTTGGAAAAGAGGATTCAAATTGATGCTGTGCACAAAACGTATTTAAGAGACCTGTGTTTAAACAAACTGACATAGTGCTGTGCAAAAGTCTTGAGCCACCCCTGAATTATTTAGATTCATCTTTCTGATTTTTCACATTTTTTTTTTTTTTTACATTAAAAATGTATGAAAGTAGATTTTTCCGAAAGATTTTGAAAGTTTTCCAGCCTTGGGAACGAACCATTGTTGTTTCAACGCCAACTCAAATTTAAAGCCATGCTTTCTTTGAAGGATTTATTTTTTTTACCAGCCACCTTTCATATCTGAGTTTTAAACTGATATTTTGTAATGAAGACGAATGTCATTCTGTTCAAACGTACATATAATGATTATTTTCTGAAAGTTTTGTTGAATTATGTCTATTGTTTTGAGGGTGTATTTTAAAAACAGATAAAATATCGCTCCACCGTTGCTTTTGGTCCGGGGCAATAATTTGCACCACAATTATAAGCTAAACTTTAATGTAAACTGAAATGAACCACTCAGTGTGAAGAAAAGCTAAAACTTCCAACACTGAGTGGAACCACAGCTGCCACATGAGGGCAGTGCTGGTTTTATTTTCCCCACCAAAACACTTAATCTCTTCAAGTACTGTATTTTCCAAAAATACAGGAAGTTAAAAGT